GGCTGTGTTCTGTATTCAGTGAGCCTACTTCTTTCCATTACTCTTTGACCCTCAGCAATCTGGCTTTTACTAATATCACCTCATTCTAACTGCCAGTGACATCATTGCTAATTCCACTTTTCTTATCATCATACTTGACTTTTCTGCATTAGACACTCTAGACCTTGAAATCCATCTCTTGGCTTTTGTGACGGTCTTACCTGATTTTCTTCCAGTCTTTCTGATCTCCCCTTCCCATCTCCATTACCCAATACTCTACCTACCCCTTCAGTGCTGCATTCTGGATTTCATCCTTAGCTCCCTTCTCTTTCCACTCCACGTTATCCATCATAATATTGATGAAGCCTAAACCTGTATCTTCCACCCAAGTCTTCTCAGCCCAGATCCATTTGTATATCTACAGATAACCACAAACTGAATATTTGTTGGGATGATCAGGAAATATGAAGTGTAAGAAAAGAAATAGAAAGGAGCTAAAGCAGTAGCCCACCAGAGTACTTCCAACTCCAGGGATTTCTAGAATAGTGGTTTTCAAACTTCATTCCTAGGAGACCCAGAGTTCTACAGAGGTGCCGCTTTCTGAGCAAGATGAAGGCCAGAGCATAAACGATCCTATAACTAAACTTTTCCTTTACCCATGATAGCTTGATTTATTTGTCTTTTTTTTTTTTTTTTTTTTTTTTTTTTTTGGTAGTAGAAACAGGGTCTCATTCTTGCTCAGGCTGGTCTCAAACTCCTGACCTCAAGTGATCCTCCTGCCTTGGCCTCCCAGAGCACTAAGATTACAGATGTGCACCACTGTGCCCAGCTGATTTATTGTTTTTGATCATAGAAAAGTTTAGAAACCATTGATCTGGAAAAGTGCTCTATCACCTTTTTGTTCAAGGAAACAAAGAGGATTCCTGATCATCTGCTTAAAGAAGTTAATGTCGGCTTTTGTGATGCCAGAGCAGAGAACTGGGCCTTGAACGAACTAAGTTATACCTTGACCTTATTTCGGGGCCCCTTGGGCATGAGTCATAGTGTGCAAAAGGCTGAAATAAGAGAGACCCTTTCAGTAAGGACCTTAAAGTGGCCAGGTGTGGTGGCTCACGCCTGTAATTCCAGCACTCTGGGAGGCCAAGGCGGGAGGATAGCTTGAGGTCAGAAGTTCGAGACCAGCCTGAGCAAGAGCGAGACCCCATCTCTACTAAAAATAGAAAGAAATTGGCTAGACAACTAAATACATATATATATATAAAAATTATCTGGGCATGGTGGCGCACGCCTATAGTCCCAGTTACTCGGGAGGCTGAGGCAGAAGGATTGCTTAAGCCCAGGAGTTTGAGGTTACTGTGAGCTAGGCTGATGCCACAGCACTCTAGCCCGGGCAACAGAGTGAGACTCTGTCTTAAAAAAAAAAAGGACCTTAAAGCCTTCAACCTTCTACCTTCTAGCTGCAGAACTGCTTTAATTTCACTCCAATCCTAGTTTGTGTTTTCCAGGTACAGTCTTTGCCCGCTGCCTGGTTTTTCCTCTCATTGTGAAGGGCCAGCGAGAGGCAGCCAAGATCCACAACCACTTGCCAGAGATCCAGAAGTTTTCCGCTCGAATCAGAGAGGCCAAGTTGGCAGGAGACCATGCTGAGTGTGAGTCAATTGCAGGATGAGCGTGGAGAGGACCACATTTGCACTTTTCCTGACATTCTGGTGAGGGAAGGAACAACCTAAATCAGGAGTTGCTGCAATTGGGCAAACTCTAAAGATTTATATTATATGCTTCTTGGGCCTAATGCTTCCAGGGATTGGCCAGGGTCAATTAGAAATGTCATGGGCCAGGTGGTGAGGATAGGTGTGTGACATAACTTGTAGCCCAACCACTAATTTCCCCTTACCCCACAGTTTACAGGGCCTCCTCGGAGATGACACTTTACCAGAAAAAGCATGGTATCAAACTCTTCAAACCTCTCATTCTACCTCTGACTCAGGTGAGCAAAAACATTTCCCTTCTTAGTTCATCCTGAACCCATTAGATTTCTTCCTCTGTGTTTCCTGTGGCCTAGACCCCCCAAAAAGCCGGTAGTGGTGATATTTATTATACATAGCTGTTAATAATGGGGTTATGAAAATGTCCCCTCTGGTGAAGCATGCTAACAGTGTTTATCCTATGTAATAGGCCCCAATCTTCATCTCCTTCTTCATTGCTTTGAGAGAGATGGCCAACCTTCCTGTTCCCAGCCTGCAGACAGGTGGCCTCTGGTGGTTCCAGGATCTCACAGTATCTGATCCCACCTACATGTTACCACTGGTAGTCACTGCTACAATGTGGGGTGTCCTTGAGGTAAGCCCAGGTTGGCCAGGTGCCAGGCCTGTAAAGTGAACTGGGAGTGGAGGGTAAAGCAGTTGTGCAGAATGGTCATCCTTTACTCCCTCAAGAGAGAGAGGTGTTGGGTAAGAAATTCGAGACAGAGTCAGTAAAATTGATGTGTTTTCACTACTGTTTTCCTGTGTCCACCACTTACCCCCCATTTTTGGCAGCTAGGTGCTGAGACAGGTGTGCAAAGTTCTGACCTTCGGTGGATGAGAAATGTGATCAGAGTGATGCCCCTGGCAGTCTTGCCCATAACCATCCATTTTCCCTCGGTAGGTAACGGCTTAAGGCTTGGTTCCAAGGCCTTCCACCTAGCCTGGCCACCTGCTAGCCAGCTGACCAGAGATGCAGCTTCTGAATACCGTCTCTGTATTCTCACCCAGGCAGTGTTTATGTATTGGCTCTCCTCCAATATGTTTTCTCTCTGCCAAGTGGCCTGCCTCCGGATACCAGCTGTACGCACCATACTTAAAATCCCCCCGCGTGTTGTACATGACCCTGACAAATTAGTTCCACAGGAAGGCTTCATAAAGAGCTTCAAAAGAGGTAAGGGCTTGGGCTCATCCTCTGAAACAGGACTGGGGAAGGTGTCTAAAAATCGGGATGATGACTGGGCAAGGTGGCTCACGCCTCTTATCCTAGTACTCTGGGAGGCCGAGGTGGGAGGAATGCTTGAGCTCAGGAGTTTGAGACCCCATCTCTAGTAAAAATAGAAAAATATTAGCCAGGCCTTGTGGCACACACCTCTAGTCCTAGCTACTCAGGAGGCAGAAGCAAGAGGATCACTTGAACCCAGCAGTTTGAGGTTGCCATGAGCTGTGATGACACCACTGTACTCTAGCCCAGGTGACAGAGCAAGACCCTGTCTCAAAAAATTAAAAAGTAAAAATAGGGGCGAGGCGCGGTGGCTCACGCCTGTAATCCTAGCACTCTGGGAGGCCGAGGTGGGCAGATCGTTTGAACTCAGGAGTTTGAGACCAGCCTGAGCAAGAGCGAGACCCCGTGTCTACTAAAAATAGAAAGAAATTGGCTGGACAACTAAAAATATATATATTAAAAAACAAATTAGCCAAGCACGGCTGTAGTCCCAGATACTCGGGAGGCTAAGGCAGTAGGATTGCTTGAGCCCAGGAGTTTGAGGTTGCTGTGAGTTAGGCTGACGCCATGGCACTCTATCCCAGGCAACAGAGTGAGACTCTGTCTCAAAAAAAAAAAAAAGGCGGGGAACGATGAGGTTGACTGTCTTGCTTTTCTTTACCCAGGCTGGAAGAATGCTGAAATGACACATAAGCTACGAGAGCGTGAGCAACGCATGCAGAATCACTTGGAGCTTGCAGCCAGGGGTAAATAATCCTTTCAGGCTGAATTCTGTCTTTTGATGTCTTTTCTTTCTTTCTTTCCTCTGTTTATTGAGAAGTTTTCTCTTCTTCCATCAGGTCCCTTACGACAGACCTTTGCTCACAACCCTCTGCTACAGCATGGAAAGAATCACCCTTCCAACACCCCAGACGGGAACAGCGACAAACCAAAGTCAAAGCAGCCCTGGCGTGACACGCTTGGCTGATTTATATTTCCTGCTCCTTATGGCAAGAAGTGTGTCTCTTCAAAGACTCATCCTCAAAACAAGACTTGACACTATGGAACTGTGGCACACAGAGATGTACATTTTAAGAATGGAGTCCACAACACAGTCTTAAAACCAAATGTATAAGAGAGCTCTGGGGAGCCAAGTGATCTTCCCATGCACAGAGTTAGTAAACCTGTGTACACATGCTGATTCCTGATACTTATTAAACAGGGAAGTGGATGTGTGCTTCATAAAACTGAAGAATAGAGTGTGTCATGATTGCTCTTGCTGGACTGTGGTCTTGGGAAGTATCTTACTGTTTTAACCTGGCATTAAGAGCCAAAACCTCGGCCGGGCGTGGTGGCTCACGCCTGTAATCCTAGCACTCTGGGAGGCCGAGGCGGGTGGATCGCTCAAGGTCAGGAGTTCGAGACCAACCTGAACAAAAGCAAGACCCAGTCTCTTCTAAAAAAATAGAAATGATCTGGACAACTAAAAAAATATATATATATAGAAAAAATTAGCCAGGCGTGGTGGCACATGCCTGTAGTCCCAGCTACTCGGGAGGCTGAGGCAGGGGGATCCCTTGAACCTGGGAGTTTGAGGTTGCTGTGAGCTAGGCTGACGCCACAGCACTCCAGCCCAGGCAACAGAGCCAGACTCTGTCTTCAAAAAAAAAAGCCTAAACCTCCAGCGCATACATGAGTTGTTCATCCACATTTGCATTGCAGTCATAGAGGTGTAACTGGTAAGTTGAGGTTGTATCTAAATACAGTAACCACTTTTCTTTATCTTAAGATTACCTTAATGTCCTTTAGCAAGTAAATATACTCAAATTCTTAGTGATGCTTGAGAATGAAAATTCATGTCATTTTTATGTAGCAGCCAAACATTTTACGGCAGCAGATTCGGTATTCTCTTGTCTGCCTTTGTGTAGAAATTGATTTTACCAGCTTCAGCAGCTAGCTTTAGAGGGAAGAAGCACTCAGATACTTTGAAGCATAAGATTATCTTTAGTCTTCCTGGATGTTTTTAGGCTAATGGAAACTCTCGGAGACACTATATAAAATTAAGCCATTCACACTTTAGCAACATAACCTTTTTATTGTCCAGCACCTGTGACAGTTTTATGTCTCTCTAAAGGAGACAAGAAGTTTGGAGCATTGTGGGCCTTTCAAAGGAAAAGAGGACTGGGTAGGCAAACCCAGAGGTGCCATAAGAACAAGCCCACACCTGACATGCTCCCACCACAGTCTGCTTTATCATTCCTTTTAAAAAGTCTGGAATAATATGTAGCAAAACAAATAAATTACTTTTCATTTCTCAAAAAGTAAGTTCAAAGGTCGAAGCTGCCTAGACCGGGCTTCTGGACAGGTGCCTCCAAAGAAGTGAGCTTTCCTTTTCAACTTCCTTAGCTCCAACCAGTAGGAGACAAGAAGCCCCTGCTTCCCACATCTCAGGATTCCATATGGCACTTAGTTAGACTTGGGATCTCGTTGCTTGGGCATTTCTCCTCCACCATCCAAATCCATTTCTGCAGCAACTGACATACATAGGACCTGGAGGTACCGTGTGGTGGATGCTACAAAGAAAAATTTGAGTTGAAACTGGGAAGGCTGAGTTTAAGTGGCACTGAATGGGACTGGGCCTGAGGGGAGTGGTTCAGTTAAGCTGAAGGGTTAATAACAGGAAGGGCAAAGGTGTTTTGGGAGCCTAGATTTGCAGAAAAGGCAAAAACCAAATCATAATAGTCGAGCTGACTTAAGGACCCAAGGCTTACCCACAATCCTTCGGAGGCAAAGAGGCCGTCTGTGTTCTGGCACTCTGACGATGAGGAAGTAAAAGGGCAAGCCTGAGAGGGCAATGGCAATGCCGATGAGGGAGTTGATGGTATCACTGTAAAGTGGAACAGCCACCAGGAAGATGGTGCAGAAGCAGAAGACAATGGGGAAGAAAAGGCTGAGCTAAGGACACAGGAGACACAACTGGGGGTTAGATAGCTCAGGAGTCTTAACAACTAAAAGAACTCCACCTCCCATAAGGACCAGAGCCCTGAGCCTTCTTTCCATCCCTTTCATCCCAATACTGCCACCACCAAGTACTAGGCAAAAGTTTCTGAATCAACTGCCTTGTTAGTATCTCCTGTAGCAGCAGCACTAGCTGTTCTAGATGGAGCAAAGGTAGGATGAAGGTGCATTACCTTGAGGGGACGAGGTCGATCTGGCTCCTTCCAGCGTAGATAAAGCTGACCCACAATAGAGAGCCCCACAAAGAACCAGTAGCTGAAGCTGTAGTAGTTAATGAGCTGGAAGATGTCCTCTACACACAAGTAGATCAGTGCCATGATACCCTGTAAGCGTAAGCCCAAGTCAGTTCCTCCCATAGCCTTTGTTACTCAAAATGCTTTTCACTCCCTTTATCCCTGACAAATCCATCCCGTCAAGTCCTCAGTCTCCTGGTCCTCTTCTCTGTTCCCACTTCCTTTAGCACCCTAGTTTTAGTACCTCATTCCTTCTTTACTAGAAGTCAATAGCCTCTGAACTGGTTTTCAGCCCATTCTTCAAGTTAATCTTACATAAAGCACAACTCAAAACAATCCCTCAAAAGTCTTATATAAGACCCTTCCCATAATAGCTCCAAACTACATTTCCAGCTCTTACCTCCTACTACAGGTTGAATATCCCTAATCTGAAAATCCAAAATGCTCCAGTGAGCATTTCCTTTGTGTTAGGTCAGCACTCAAAAATTTCAGATTTTGGGTTAGGGATACTCAACTTGTACTCAACCCCAAACTGCTTTACCATGGGACTTTCTGATGCTAAATCCCATCTCTACCATTTGCAATCCTAACCTTCAAAATACACTATTCATCCAAGAAATGCTTCTTCCTTCACCCTCTACCCCCATGGAAGTGATCATTTCTTCTCTTGAATGTTGTATCATTCACTATTTGTCATGGCAATCAATTGTTACAATGTAATCCACGTACTTTATGCCTTATCTTAGACCACAGGTGGCTATATTCCTTACAGCAGTTAGACTCTGTAGCAGTCAGCACAGTGCCTTGCCCACAGTGGGTGTTCTGTTCCACCAATAGTTTTTTTACCAGAATCTTTAGAGCTTCCAGGAAGCCAGAACATTCGCTTTACTGTTACTAAAGTTTCCCCACAATCTGGCTTTTAGTCTTATCCTAAAGATGACTTACATTGAAGAGCAGAGAAGGCACTGGCGTGAATCGCTCAACATGGATCATGCAGATGGCATCAGGGAGATGGCCTTCTCTTGAGCCCACAAAGAAAAGTCTATGGTAGGTAAGATAGGAGAGGCTGAGAAAATTGTGGGACACAGTGCAGCCTGGTTCACCTGCCACATAGCCCTCCCTCTCTGCCATCCCTTCCTTCAAAAGAATTTGAATAATATGGAATGGAGTTCAGTATTGGGATTAGTGAGAACCGGAGGCTGCTAATCAGAACAAGAAAGAGGTTGCATCATTTGGAGAACACAGTGATTAAAGTCCGCGGGTCCTGTAAGTTCTACCATCCCTGCCCCAGCAAAAGATGCCACTCTTACCTAGAAGCAGCCACGATGGAGGCATTGAGGCCACCAAAGCAGGATAATGCAACTGCAATTGGAATTACCCAGTTGAATATTCCAAAAATCTGGTCTGCAAAACTCTAAGGGAAAGGAATGGAAGAGTCATTAGCAGGACCTAAAAGGGATGAAAGGTATGGACAGGCATGATCCCAGATTCCCCCTACTGGAAATCCAATCCTTCTTCTATAGTGGGGGTAACAGGACCTTCTTGCAAGCCTTGTATCCTAATTGAACTCCTTTTAAGGCTGTCTACCCCCTTTCCAAGACTTTCAAGAGTTGGGATATACCCAGTAGCCCACAACACACCCTCAACCTTCTCCTGCTAGGGAAAATCCTTTACCACAGCAACAGCATCACTGGCCAAGATGTCCCTCATGTCTAGCACGGTGTAATAGGCCACATTGGTCAAGATGTAGATGATGGTGACAATGGGCATGGAAATGCCAATGGAGAGGGGCAAGTTCCTGCAGCCAAGCAAAATAAAGGACACATTAGTTCCACAGTCACATCCCTAATCTCTCCTTTAGTCCTTGGACTCTCCCTGCCACACCAGTCTTTCCAGGGTTGGACACTCCTGCTGCATTTCCTCAGTGCATTTGTCTTTGAGGTTGCCTAGGACATTGGCTGAAGCTCTGAACTCTTAAGAACTAAAGAGCATTAGGAGAAAGGAATATCAATTTAGTTGAAAAGGCTGTCCAAAAAAAAAAAAGAAGAAGAAGAAAAAGGATTAACAAAGAACTGTGTCACGGCATAATATCAGCACAGGAAGATAGGAGGTTATTTTGGTTTTTACATCCAAAGGTCTGTTGGTGTTAGGATTCCATCTCCAGAATAATCAACATTGGAAATTTTGTCTCAAGGTTGAGAAATAGAAGAAATTATGGAGGCAAATGGTGAAATCTAACATCTCCAGAGGATAAGACAGGTCTTCAGTACAAACAGCAGTGTGTGTATTTGAACAAGCAACTGGGGAGACATGTCCACCCACCCCTTCCTCAGTTTGAGAACCTTGGGAGCATCCTAGCTGGTGGCCAAAAGAAAGATGCAAAGACCTCTCCAGGTCCCTATAGCCCAATAAAGCCATGATCTTTATAAATATCCTTGACAGTAGACTGTCAAAAAGGAAAGGAGAGGGGCAAATACTCTTGCATCATTCGGCTTCTGTCCGGTAGGTGGAAGCACCACCCAGCCTTGATCCTGCTTCTATAATCTCGGCTCCCATAGCTGCAACACTCTAGTGTATAGCAAGAATGCTCTTTGTTTCTCAAGCTGTTTACACTGGTAAGAGAATTGTTATTCTTTTGACTCGAAAATTTACAGAAATTCCACTCCCTGGCAAATCTTAGTTCCCAGAATCATAGAATTTTAAAGCCAGGAAAGGCCCTGGAGACCATATAATTCAGTCCCCTCAATTACAGGTAAGGAAGCAGGCACAGAGATGGTGGGGCAACTCCCTCAAGGTCACCCAACAAATCACTGGAAAGACAAACTCCAGCCCTTTGACTCCCTGTCCAGTGCTCTTTTCACTCTGCATGATTACAGGGTGATTTAGAGTAACACTGGTGGGGTTTGAGTGACTGAAACAATATCACAATATCAGTATGAATTTGGGAAACAAGGGATCAAAGGGGAAACACAGGAAGGTTTCTGTAAGTCTGTGTCATAAAGGGGACATGTGTGTGAATAAGGGTAGGTGAAAGATCTATCAAGAAAACACACAAGTATTTTAAATCTATTTTATTTTTATTTTCCCCAGTCTCCTCCCTCCCCTCCTTAAATCTATTTTTAAAAGTACATAATATAACCTGCTTTAATTAATGTAGGAATGAATGAGCAAGTGTGAAAAGGCCTTTTTAAAAAAATTTTACGAAGCATACCTGAGAAAGTTCACATTTTAGCTCTGTTACTGTGATCCCAGACAAGCTACTTCTCTGGGCTTAAAGCCTCCCATCTATTAAAATGGGGCTGATAAAATCAACCTCTTAGGTAGTTGTCTCGCACATAGTAGGAGCTCATTAAATGATGGCTATCACTGCTATGGAAAGTTGATGGTGAGATACCTACCTTTCAGGATTCTTGATCTCTTCAGTGACGTAGTTGAGAGTGTCCCAGCCCGAGTAGGAGAACAGAGCCGAGTACAGTGCCAGGGCAATGTCACCCATTGCAAATGATGAATCCTTAAAGGACTCCTCAAAATGAGTTGAAGCTCCTGGAACCCGAGAACATTGGAAGGCAAAGGATTAGTGGCCCATTCCCCCAATTTCAAGATGATTGAGTAAAGCAGTGGAAGAAAATGGTAATTACAGCAGGTAAGTGGCTTAGAACACTCCTGGCAGCAAGGGTACCAGTGAAGGAATGGGCAACAGAAGAGAGACATCTACAGAGATGGTCTGGCATGCAGGGAATGGTGTGGATGGGGATCTCGACAGGCCTTCTAGGATAAGAAACCACCATGGAGCAGAAGGGCTGGAGAACGGCAATGATGCACCTCTGCTTTGCTCTGTAGGCTGCCCGATTCCTGCCCCCTTTCTAACACCGGACAGGGCTGATACAGCGTAGGAGGGCAGGGCTCAATATGCCCAGGTTAACAGAGTAGCTGTAGGGTAGGTACTTGAACCTGGAAACTGGAAAGAAGTGGGTACAAGAAGTTCATTTATGACTTTGCTCACTCCCAAGGGCAGAACAGTCATCAGAGACATAGCACTGGGCTCAACAATCTGCAAAGCCAACCACCAGGGCATGGCTGTCAGCCCTTTTGCCAAGATCAGCCTCCTCGGGGAGGCAGCATGCACAGAAGTTAAAGGACAGACTTTGGGGTCAGTATGCCTGGGTACAAATTTTAGCTCCTCTACTTACCACTAGGGACTTGGGCAAGATTGTAGCCTGTTTGCTCATCTATAAGATGGGAATAATAATAGTGCCTACCAAATAAGGTTATTGTGAGAAGTAAATAAGACAATTTACAAAGAGCACTCAGAGGAGTATGCCTCAAAGAAAATGCTTAATACGTGTTAGTTGCTATTAATATTATTTCTTACCCTGGCCAAGTCTAACAATGCCTGCAATGATGACCGCAATCAGTGCCAATACTTTAGCATAGGTGAAAATATCTTGTACCATGGTTCCCCACTTGACATAGGCACAGTTAATGAAGGTTAAGAGACCTGAAAGAAAAATAATACTGATTGGTGACTGACCCTTAAGACTCCAAGAAATTTTTCCAGTACCAGTCACCAAGATAGACCCTTTAGCCAAAGACAGACCCTCTGACCTGCTTTGCATTGGAAACCTTTGCCCCACAATGTCCTTCCCATTATCATTCAAAGGCACCTGCTGAGCACTGTGTACATAGCACCAGCACACTCCCTACCTCTAGCACCTTATTTGGGACACACAAAACTAAGTGACTGTGGATTTGCTTACATACAAAAGTACACCCAAATTCCCAATCACAGCAGTGGAAAGCAACTGGTAGCTGTACAGGATTAGTGATGTGTTCCAGCTCTTGCCTCTGAAAAGTCACAGTCTCTCCCTCCTACCTTCCCATTCCACATGGGCTCTGGGACACAACACTCTGATTCTGGGGTATTATTGTTAACCTTGATGAGTCCTATTGTGACTTATCCAATGTCTGGGCCAGCAAGTCAGGATGTGTGGCCAAGGATTAGAATGGGGGCCAGACTTCCTGCCCACTGCCTGGCAGCTCAGCTGCTTGTTTTTGTGCTTGGAAGGATTCTTGTAGCTAAGAGCAGTTCCTGTAGAATGGCGACAGGGCATTTTTCCTGACTGGACAATGAATGTATTAATAGAAGAGCCACAAACATTTCTCAAGTCCTACGCAGGGGTAGAGGCAATCCTTTTACTTGGATGAGCTTAAGTTCATGATCATCCTTAGGGCCAGGGTTCTTAACTAGAGCCTCCACAAGGCCTGAAATTATTTTGCAAAGTGTTTGTATGAGTACATATATGCATTTCTCTCTCTGTCTTTTTTTTTTTTTTAATAGACAGGATCTCACTCTGTCGCCCAGGCTGGAGTGCAGTGGCCCAATCACAGCTCACTACAGCCTCAAACTCTTGGCCTCAAGAGATCCTCCTAACTCAGCCTTCCAAAGTGCTGGGATTATAGGCGTGAGCCACCGTGCCTGGCCTCATATATGCATTTTTCTAAGAGTTCATGCCTTTTCTTAGAAAATGACCATAGTTCTTTCATCAGAATCTCAAAGAAATCTAGCCTGAGCAACATAGCAAGACCCCATCTCTACAAAAAAATTAAAAAATTAGCCGGACATGGTGGTGCATGCCTGCAATCCCAGCTACTCAGGAGGCTGAAGCAGGAGGATCCCTTGAGCCCAGGAGTTTGAGGTTGCTGTGAGCTATGATGATACCACTGCACTCTAGCCCAGGCAATAGAGTGAGACCTGGTCCCCATCACCCCACCCCTCCAAAAAAATAAATCTCAGGGAAATCCACTACCTCTTCCCCATGAAGTTACAATCCACTACCTTAGAAGAAGAAATGCAAAAAGGGAAGCCCACACATGTGAGGTTGACCAGTAGCCTCAGGATGTGGTAGGGAAGAAAGTTGGAAAAAACAATACAGCAGAATGTTCCTTGGATTCCCCACTAACCTCTTAGCGGACAGGCAGGCACATCCACACCTTCCCCACTGGCAGCACAGTGAATCACATCACTGCTCCCTCCTTCCCGGCTCCAGAGCTGGTACACTATAAGGAGGGCTTAACTTTAAAGCCCTCCTCTCAAGAGATCCAAGGGCAAGGCCAGCGTCACCCTGCCCTACCCCAGAGAGACTGAGGCCCAGTGCGGGGCTTGCCTGCTTCACCCACCAACACAGGAACTGCTTCCTGTGTGAGTTCTGCCAGTGGCATGGCTTTCGGTACCCTTAGTGCTCCTGTTTTGTTGTATCCTGGCCTCATCACATTCTGGCCCAGAGGCCATTTCACCCTGAGAAGCAGGAACGGCTGGCCTCTTGCAACAGCTGTCCCACCTTCTCCCTCTCACTGTCCCTCCCACCACCACCCCTCATTCTACTCCCTGCCCAAATTCCTTTCTGCTCTCCCTGAGAAGGGGCATTCCTGTCCTATATGAACGCTTGCCTTTCTGCCTAATAAACAAGACAATAAACAACCAAAGTTTATCACAGGGCTGGGCAAAAATGCACCCATAGCTCCAGGCCACCCTAGTACTAAGTTAATAATTAAAGACACAAGTGCGCAGCACGCTGCAAAATGACCAAAGTGCCTATATCTGGCCTTCCACAAATCTTTCAAATCTGTCCATCCTCCTCAGCCAGGCACGCATCCTTTCTTTACTCCCCACTGGACTGCAGCCTCCAGCCATTCAACAGCCCTCCCTCCCCTCATCCCCACCCGCAACCTCCGCCCTTATCCTCAGGCTCTGCTGCTGGCTCTTAACTACAGCATAACCCAGGTTTCCAATCAGAAACACCAGGCACAACTGATGCTGCCACATTCTCTGGGGAACAGGATCCCCAAATACAAATTCCTGCAGGTTAGCCTGCAAGGCAACCATGGGTCACAACACCAAACCGGAAGAGGCTTAAAGAACTAGTTCTAGTTCAGAGTCAGAGTCTACAGGTGTGTGCCACGAGGTTCTCTTCTCAGCCCTGACCAGGGATGTAGACAGGGAAAAGTAGGGATAAACAGCCAATTCCTCACCCTTTCCTACAGCAAATTCTGAAATGGAAATACATGGCTAGTTTATATTTTAATCCTCACTGCTTCTCTCCTTCCGTATCCATTCATTTGTATTCCTCCTTTTACCCACCAGTATCTTGCCTCCCCCAGGCCTGAGCCTAATTCCTCGGCCACTGACCCACCATCTTGCCCTGATCCGCTCTCTGTAATGAGCACTGGTGGCTCAGCTAGAATGAGGAAGGGAATCCTACTGAGAGAAACCAGAGAGCAGGGGAAGTGCCTAAAGAGAGCTGCCCTCACCTTCCCCTCAGCCCAGCTTCCTCCAGGGCCTCTTGGCCATGGGAGCAGGAAATGGTATGGCAGGCAGCAGTGCTGACTGGGCCCTCTGTCCCCACCCGCAGCGGATACAGCTGACCTGCAGCCCCAGAGCCCAGCCAAGTGCCTGCTCTTGAAATGGAGCCTAACCTCCTGCTTCAGAGTCAGGGACAGGAGGGGACCATGGGGTTAAAACAACATGGAGGCAACAGCTAGTTAACCTCAAGGAGAGACGCACCCTACCTACCCTTTTATCTCTAGAGGCAATCCTTTTTTTTTTGGCAACAGAGTCTTACTCTGTTGCCCCCAATACAGTGCAGTGGTGTCATCATGGCTCACAGCAACCTCAAACTGTTGGGCTCAAGTGATTCTTCTGCCTCAGCCTCCTGAGTAGCTGGGACTACAGGCGCATGCTATTATGCCCGGCTCATTTTTCTATTTTTTGTAGAGACAGGGTCTCACTCTTGCTCAGGCTGATCTCGAACTCCTCACCTCAAGCAATCCTCCCATCTTGGCCCCCCAAAGTGCTACGATTTACAGGCATGAGCCACTGCCTGAAATCAGCTTTGACCCTTGACTCAGGTGTAATTCCATTCCTGCTTTGACCCCAGAGAGAAGAAGAAGAATCTGTAAAGAAGTCACTCTTACAATTATCTAAAGAAATGATTCTGAATGAGTCATCAAACCCAGCCTACATGGAGTCACCTGGAGTAGGAAGCTAGTTCTGGCACTAAGGCCCAGCGTCAGCTCTGGAACTAAAAACAAGAAAGCACTGGACTAGGTTGATCCAGAACAGAACAAAGCTTGCAGGCCCACTCTGGATCTGACGCCCCGGTTTAGTTTAGATGCCTAAACAAAACAGTTCTTGAAAAAGAACATTAAACCACAGTCCTCCAAGCACCCTTAACTTCAAATACATACAATGAAACACACAAAGCTTAGGCTGCTATTTAATCCATTTTCTGCTTCAAACTCCCAGGGACTATAAAACCTCAATACTTTATTAGGCAATTCATTCCATTTTTAAAGAGATCTATAGCTCTTCCTTCCTTAAGCTAAAATCTTCTCCCCTGCAACTTCTACCCAGTAGTTCTAGATCTCTCCTCTGGCCCACAGAGAATCAAGCTAAACCCTCTTCTACACAATGGCCCTTCTTAGCATTAAAGATAAATAACCTGTCTCCCTTGAGTCTCTCTTCCTTCAGGATAAAAACCCAGTTTCTTCAACCCCTCATGAGGCAAATACGGTTTCCAGACCACTGACCATCCCACGTTTCTCCTCTGCATTTACTTCACTTTGTCAGTGTCTCCCTGGAAACACAAGCCGCCACACGGAAAACTCCAGACATTGCTGCAGACTGTGGAGTCTCAGCTCGAACTGTCAACTACAACTCCTTTTTTTTCCACCTCAAATTGACAAGCTCTTTCCTCTCCCCTTCTGGCCCTGTAAAAGTGATTTTTTTTTCCAGATATAGGACTTTATATTCATTCTTAGTAGCTTTCCTCTGTTCGTTTTTATGCATCATTCCTGCCTATTAGAAGTGGGCGTTTCCCCCTTGATTTTATCAGTTAGTTCGAACCCCTTCAGTTTTGTGAAATCTGCAAATTTGATTAGCATCCCTTCTGGTCTTCACTGAATTTACTGTAAAAATGTTGACTAGAAGCTGTAGAGCCCTGTAGTCTATCATTACAGACCTTCCTCTGTGTTGTCATTATTCCACATCATCACTCAACCAACTAAGAAGCCACCAAACTATGCTTTTATCTAGTCCACCTTTGTCTACCTTGCCAACAAGAATATCGTGAGAGTTTGCCAAGAATCACTCAAAATCTGCATACACATGACTCTGCTCCAACAATCTAATGATGCTATCCAATGATTCAAATGAAATTACCGGCGGTCCCCAGGTTACGGACCAGAGGTTATGTTCTCAGGTTATGTTCCCGAGAACATTTTCAGGTAGGATTTGTATGTAACTCAGATCCCTGATGAACAGTACATATACAGTAATAATAATACTACTACAATGGCTCATATTAAATATATGGTAATAATACCCCTGTACTGTAATAATAAGTTACAGAAACTATTGTGCTCTTTCTTTTAATTCAAACAGAACATAAAAACAAACTCATACAAAAAGTTTAGATAGGAGATAGGAGAAACTTCAAAAAG